CTTATTGTTAAAATCTTTGATAATTTGATGTGCATATGTCTAATGATCATTTTTGACCGCCAAATGGCAATTTTTCACTTTTTTTACTAAATCTCCGAAACCGCTAGACCTACCTTCATGAAAATTTGATCAATTTCATCTTGTTAATAAAGGTAAAATGTTTTTTGATTTATTCAAATCGGAAGCTCCGTTCTCTTAAAAACTGAGTTACCGTTTTTGGCACCGTTTTGGCATATCTTCGGAACGGCTAGACCTGCCTTTGCCACAAACTAATCAGCACGTCTCCTTATCAATACGAATCGAATGTTTTTTGAATTATTCAAATCGCTTCATCCGTGTTCCCGAAATCGTCGACGAAAATGTGTATCCGAACACACACACATACACGCACACACACACATAAACACGCACACACATACACACACACATAAACGCACATACACATACACACACACATACATCCATTTTTTCTAAGGTATGCCAAAATGTTGAGAAGGTTTTGAAACGTAAAGATATATAGAAATTTTCATTTTCGATTTTTTTGCGATTACTATAACTTGCCGGGAAGTTAATAAAAGCAATTACGTGAATAAAAAAATAATGAGAAACATGGCAATAAAAAATTGTAATCTATAAAAATGTGTTGCATTTTATACTATTGATAACAAAAACTCACATATTATTCTAGGTCGAAGCAGAAGTAAAGATGGAAAAAAAGATGGAAAACGAGGAAAAGATAAGCGAGGACGAAGCGACAAATCAGAAAGTCAAGACAGAAACCGTAGAAAAAAACTGTCGTCGTCCTTAGGCCGAAATCGTAGCAAAAAATCAACATCGCGATCACGTAGTCCTAAAAAACAAATGGCTCAAAGCGACGATGAAGAAGGGGTTACGGTCACATATGGTCGAAAAGAAGAGAGTGACACAGATGACAATCATAGTGAAAAGTCCCTGGAAAGGGTAAGAAGATCGAGAACTGTTAAACAGAAAAAGGAAAATGTAAAAAAAGACAAACAACACGAAAAAGATATTTCCATCGATGTACAGCAAACTCAATCACTGGTAGCGACAAATGTGTTCGACACTTCTTTGTTTTCGCTGGATTTAGACAAGATAATGCCATATGTAGTGCTACGAAATGGAAATTTATATTATAGAAATGTTGTTCCAGAACCAGCAATGGAAAATTACAGTTTTAATTAATTGTCACGCAAGATTCAAAGTGATTTAAATATTTATATTGAACAGGTAATGATTTTTTGGGTATTGTTACTGAACTCAAATGTTAAAATTTCGAAAATCTGTGGCAAAAATTATTACCAATGATTAATTTTTTATTGTATATAATTTATAATTTTTTGTAAACTAACTTTTGTCTGAACAAATGGAATATTTTTATGTAATTTTGTAATTTAAACTCATTTTTTGAACGACGTTTATTACAACATATTTAAAAATAACACATTTTGTTACAATAATTGAAAATCTATTTATTGAAACCAAAAATATATTTAAAACATTATTATAAAATTTATGTATGAAATATGCATAAAACGTTATACAGTAGTCCAATCATTAATAAATTATCATTTTAGTATTTATAATTATAAAATTTTATATACGCTAGTGAACTCATGTTTCGACAAAATTTTAAATGTATATTTTAACTTCCCGTAGGGTAAGTTATAGTAATCGCAAAAAAATGGAAAATGAAAATTTGTATATATCTTTACGGTTCAGAGATTTCTGAATATTTTGGTATACCTTAGAAAAAATGGATGTATGTGTGTGTGTGTATGTGTGTGTGTGCGTGTGTGTATGTGTGTGCGGATACAAATTTTCGTCGACGATTTCGGGAACACGGATGAAGCGATTTGAATAATTCAAAAAACATTCGATTTGTATTGGCAAAAGCAGATCTAGCTGTTCCGAAGATATTGGGCAAAAAGTACCAACAACGGTGAATCAGTTTTAAGAGAACGGAGCGTCCGATTTGAATAATTCAAAAAACATTTTACTTGTATTAACAAGATAAAAAACTGATCATATTTTTATGAAGGCAGGTCTAGCGGTTTCGGAGATCTAGTAAAAAAAGTAAAAAAATGCCATCTGGCGGTCAAAAATGATCATTAGACATATGCACATCAAATTATCAGATATTTTATAAAGATTTTAACAATAAGTATAAATTTTATTTACATTCCTATGGGTTCCGTACCAATGTTTATCCGTTAGACGGCGACGCGGCGCTTACGCGCTTTGACATTTCGTCTCTATGCAGTTAAAGCAGTACGATTGCTTTAAAAAAAGTTCAGAATTTCCAAAATATTTCAAAATACACTGTTCAAAAAAAAGTAAATCTTTGTCAAAAATTTATAGTTTCTCAAAAATCTAATTTTTAATAGTAATTTTTTTTCAAAAATGTTAATCTTTTTTAAAAAAAATAATTTTCTGGTACGTGAAGTTCCAGCAATTTGCCTTAAGACACGATGCCATGCGCCCCACTAGTTTGGATTCACAATCGTCACCCCATAGGGTAGGCAGGGCACAAAACTCCAACTTGATTTTGAGCAATTGTATTGTAAAAAACAAATCAATTATATCAGAACAAATAACACATATCAAACGAATAATGCTCAGTAATACTCCTAGCTAATTCATCATTGTTGGAATGTGTTTTTTTTTCTGCTGTTTTGCAGAAATTCTGACCTAGTACTTTTTATTTCATTTATGAAATAATAGCTACATCAAAACTATAATATAAAGCAAGAGTTGAAGTACAAGAAGTACTAGCTGTAAGTGGAATTCTGTCTTAAGGCAATTAAGGCATCGTGCCTTAAGGCAAATTGCTGGAACTTCCCGTACCAAAAATTATTATTTTTTTAAAAACGATTAACATTTTTGAAAAAAATTTACTTCGAAAAAATTAGATTTTTGAGAAACTATAAATTTGACAAAAATTTACTTTTTTTTGAAAAAAAATATTTTTTTTTGAAAACAAATTTTTTTTGAAAAGAACAATGTTTTCTTCATTTTGACATATTTTGGAAATTCTGAACTTTTTTTCAAAGCAATCGTACTGCTTGAACTGCATAGAGACGAAATGTCAAAGCGCGCGCAAGTGCCGCGCCGCCGTCTGACGCATAAGCATTAGTACGGAACCCATAGAAATGTAAAAAAAAATTATACTTATTGTTAAAATCTCTATAAAATATCTGATAATTTGATGTGCATATGTCTAATGATCATTTTTAACCGCCGAATGGCATTTTTTTTTTACTTTTTTCATTAGATCTCCGAAACCGCTAGACATGCCTTTATGAAAATTTGATCAATTTTTCATCTTGTCAATACAAGTGAAATGTTTTTTGAATTATTCAAATCGGACGCTCCGTTCTCTTGAAAACTGAGTTACCGTTTTCGGCACTTTTTGCCCCGTAATTTCGGAACGGGTAGACTAGCCTTCGCCAAAAACTAATCAGCACGTTTCCTTATCAATACAAATCGAATGTTTTTTTAATTATTCAAATCGGTTGATCCGTGTTCCCGAAATCGTCGACGAAAATTTGTATCCGCACACACATACATACACGCACACACACACACACCCACAAACACACACACACATACATCCATTTTTTCTAAGGTATGCCAAAATATTCAGAAACCTCTGAAACGTAAAGATATATAAAAAAAATTATTTTCGATTTTTTTGCGATTACTATAACTTGTCCTACGGGAAGTTAATAACTCACGATTAATAGATATTTAACAATATTTCACTTATAATATCATACTTTAGTTATACTTTTATTTTTTCCTCTTGAATTATTGTTTACTATTATTATTATTATTATTATATTATTATTATTATTATTTATACTTCATGATATTATTAATTATCTGTTTATTTCCATTATCATTAAATTTAGTACATATTTTCATAAATTAGAAAATGTACCAATGGGTGGTTCTCTAAAAACATTATACTTTTATTAAGTCTCAGAGTAATTACTGTCAATTAATCAAAGTCTTAATTACAAGGCAGATTGCAATTTAAATATGAATAAAAAAAATTCAACCAATGCAAAATGAGTACATTTTTTAAACTGTATATAATCTTGATCTGATATTTCGTCACAAATATTTATCAGCAGAATTTGAATAACTATTTATTAAATTTATCTCTTATATATTTTTTTCTTTATCTTAGTTTACTTTTTGTTTACAATTTTTTGTTGTTTACACCTTTGCCAGGGTAAAGATTTAATTGGTTTGTTTTACCCTCCCGCACGTACGAGTAAGTTTTTATAGAAGTTATATAAAAATACTGTTAAATCTAACCTAAAATTAATAATATATCTTATCAATTATATAAAAGCTACTTAAAAATTATATTAAGGTCTTGTAAACTAAGCAACAGTACTCACAACAAAAAAATTGTTTATCAACCAATAGCGATGTCGTAATGAATCAAGGTAATGGCTGTTTGCACATATTTTTCCTTCTACTCTCAAATATTGTTAGTCTTAACTTTACTGGTTTTTGAGATATCGGTGTTGGACTTTTTTACTCGCGGGCTTTTAAGCTTCGCTTTACTCTGTTCCAATTATCGACAAATTCCATTTCATCAGTAGATAAAAATACAGAAGAACCAGTCATAAACTTACTTGCAATATATAAAAACTAGCCAAAATTATAAAATGAAATAAAAAACGAGATGTTTAAATAATTTTTTTGACATTAGACCATTGGCCCATATCAAAAATGAATATTTTACAATCATAAATTTCCATACTGGCTGGCTAAACAAATTGTTCGCAATAAACTAAAAAAAAAAGCAGCGAGATGTGTAAACATCATATAATTTATTTAAAATTAAATTTATACTAATTAAAATTAATTAAGTTACACTGAAATAATTAACGCATGTGGACCGAAACAAAATAAAATTAGAGAATACATTTCGAAATTGATTAATTAAATAATTATTTTTATTCCTAGGCAGCCGCTTCTTTAACGTTCATGGCATCATCGATGAACGATTTTAATTCCGCCTGGTAAATGGCCTTCGCGCCAGTGGCGGGCGAAGCGGAGGGCGCTCTTCCAATATATCTAGGAAGAGTAAATATTATAAACAAATACGGTTTCACGTTATTATTTATATATCGGTATAGGTATACGTCGTAATATACCTTATACAGCGAGTTCCCTTCATACAAGTCCGATATCTGGGATTAAAATAAGTCCAGCCACCCATATTCCTATGCTCTTCTTGAACCCAGGCGACGCTCGCGTTGGGATATTTTTCGGATTCTTTTCTTATCAAGTCGTAAGGAAAGGGGCACATCTAGTAATACAACAAAAAGTGAGCCATTTAAAAATCTAACTAGCTGTAAGTGGAATTCTGTCTTAAGGCAATTAGGGCATCGTGCCTTAAGGCAAATTGCTGGAACTTCCCGTACCAAAATTATTATTTTTTTAAAAACGATCAACATTTTTGAAAAAAAATTACTTTGAAAAAATAAGATTTTTGAGAAACTATAAATTGGACAAAAAATTACTTTTTTTGAAAAAAAATTTTTTTTTTAAAAAATAATTTTTTTTTTTAATTTTTTTTTTTTTGAAAAAATTTTTTTTTTCTTTATTTTGACATATTGTGGAAGATCTGAACTTTCTTTTCAAAGCAATCGTACTGCTTTAACTGCATAGAGACAAAGCGACGTAAGTCCCGCGTCGCTGTTTAACGCATAAGCATTGGTACGGAACCCATAGGAATGTTAACAAAATGTATACTTATTGTTAAAATCTCTATAAAATATCTGATAATTTGATGTGCATATGTCTAATGATCATTTTTGACCGCCAAATGGCTCATTTTTTTACTTTTTCCTCCATATCTCCGAAACCGCTAGACCTACCTTCATGAAAATTTTATCGATTCTTCATCTTGTCAATACAAGTGAAATGTTTTTTGAATTATTCAAATCGGACGCTCCGTTCTCTTAAAAACTAAGTTACCGTTTTCGGCACTTTTTGCCCCGTATCTTCGGAACGGCTAGACCTGCCTTCGCCAAAAACTAATCAGCACGTCTCCTTATCAATACGAATCGAATGTTTTTTGAATTATTCAAATCGGTTGATCCGTGTTCCCGAAATCGTCGACGAAAATTTGTATCCGCACATACATACACACACATACATACATACATACATACATACACACACACACACACACACACACACACACATACATCCATTTTTTCTAAGGTATGCCAAAATGTTAAGAAACCTCTGAAACGTAAAGATATATAAAAATTTTCATTTTCGATTTTTTTGCGATTACTATAACTTACCCTACGGGAAGTTAACTAGTGGTTATGACACTGTAATGGACGCTAAATTTGTAATGCGCTGAGTTTCTGGAACTTTTCATTATATAAACAAATACCAGTTATCAATTCATATATCGAAATATTAAGACATTTACAGTTTTAACCACATTAAAATAAATTTTAATGCACGATGTATCACTAGTTTATCTTGCATTTGCTAAATAGTTGTTTGGATAATTTTTGCTTATTAACTTCCCGTAGGGTAAGTTATAGTAATCGTCCAAAAATTGAAAATATTTCTGAACATGTTGGCATATCTTAAAAAAAGTGTATGTATGTATGTGTGTTTGTGTGTGTGCGAATATATGAATACAATTTTCCGTAACGTTTTTAGGAGCACAGATTCCTATTGATAAGGAGACGTGCTGATTAGTTTTGTGCAAAGACAGGTTCAGCCGTTTTTGGAAATACCTTAGAAAAAAAGTGGATGTATGTGTGTATGTATGTGAGCAGGGCCGGTCCTGCCTTGCATGCGATGCATGCAAAAAATGCGGGCGCACGCCTGAGGGGGCGCCAAAACGAGTTTCGGAAATTAAATTTATAATATAATATTTATATTTTTTATATAAAATCTAGAATTATTTAATTAAAATCTTGAATTCTTAATAAATTATAATAAATAATTTAACTTAACTAGGGATACGGAGACACAAAAAGCATATTTATTTTGCAATGTGATATCAGTAGAAACAATTAACCGATTAAGAATTCTGCAAATTTGTAAATAACAGCTCTGTTTATTGCTTAATCTACTTATTCAATTTTTTCTTTGTTTGAAGTTACCGTGGAATCGAAGAAGAAATTATCTAGTGTTCAATCCCATAAGCTCAAACCTGCGAAATATTAAATTAATTGTTGGGCATTATTGACGAAAAATTGCGAGCTGGTTTATTTGAAACGAAACTTGTTAAAAAATGTAAACAAATCATAATCGGGAAAATAAAATAAATTATTCCGAGAAATTGAATTGTAACTTTAGCTTCTATTGCAAATGTTTCGCTTCTGATTAATTTTGAATGTTGAAGACATGCGTGGTTAGGGTTATGAAAATGGAGCAAATATGAAAAATGAAAGCAAAATGTACTTAGGAACAAAAATCTTTAAGCTTTTTTACACAAAATTTAATTATTAAGTATGCAGAAATAATGCATATCAAATATAATTAGTTTTTTTCCAATATAGTTCAAGAAATGTGTAATTTCTTTGCATTTTTACTGATTTTTGGACAATACTTCTAAAATACGTTAAAAATTTAACTTTAAAACAACAATCTGATACTCTGAATATGACGAGAAAGCAAGGACGAATACAATTCGGCTCTTACGATATCAATAAGAAGAAGTTTACTACGTAATTTTGGATATTGTAAATAATAAAAAATTAAATTAAATTAAAATTTAAAAATCCAGCATGAAGTACGAGTGTTACGATTGAAAATGAAAAGCTAGTTTTTTTTTAGCTCTCTTGACATGATTTGCTCAATAGACCAAATCGCGTAATAAATAAGTAAAATTTTTTAAAACCCAAATATTAATATTGTACATACGTTAAAAATGATTGAAAATTTAAAAATATTTAATTATAATCAACCCGCGAAACGCCTCGATTTTCTAAATATATTTAAAATCAATGTATTTTATACGCTTTTAGATTACATCTAAATTTTTGTGTACTAAATCCAGTATAATCAAAAATACATTTTAAAAAAGTGTGTAAATATTTATATAGTCTTAATAATAAATGTTAAAACACAATTAATAGGAGGGGGGGGCGCTAGAAAAAAAGTTGCATGCGGGCGCTAAGAACCCCAGGACCGGCCCTGTATGTGAGGATCTAACATTTCGAGATTTGTCCACAATTTCTGGAATACGGACCAACCGATTTTTATTTAATTGCAATCTGTCACACTTAGGACATTCAGTAATTGTTTCGACTTTTCTTGTTATATGAATCTTGAATGGATGGCAACCCTGTAGTTGTCCAGACATTTTTATTATATATGCAACTATACCCACAAGAGGCGATTTTCACTTGAGGCTATATTTGAGATCTATGGCCTCAAGTGGAAATTTTACATTAAAGTTGCCTGATGTCAGGCTTGGCGGTAGCGGGAATCGAATCAGCGAACCTGGGACTAGTTGGTGCTTGCCCACGCTCTAACCGATATCGCCACCACCACGCTGGCACAATGCTAATTAAAATGATAATTCCGTTTTTGGAAAAACGGAGCGTCCGATTTGAATGATTCTAAAAACATTTTAATTTTATTAACAAAATGGAAAACTGGCAAATATGAATGATTTTTTGGAAAGGCAGGTTTAGCGGTTTCAAAAATACAAGAAAAAAAGTAAAAAAATGACATTTGGAAGTCAAAAATGATTTTTAGACATATGCACATCAAATTATCATATTATAAAATTATTAAATAGATGATCACCTGTTCAACTCGTGCAATGGCAATAACGTTTTCTAATTTCCGTTCCTTTCTATGTTTTGTAAGTTCCATGTAAACTTTACCGGAGCAGAATATTAATTTTTTAACATTATTTGGGTCCTTAGAAGCCTCGCCAGCTTCGGGTATGACCCTTAAAATAGTATTTTTATATTAAATATTCTGTATTAATTTTAATTATTTTTTGGAACTATAGATAAGGCCATACATTTTCAAATATATTCTGCAAATTTGCTTCAAAAAAAAAAGAAAAATCTATTGTGTACACTATTTTGAATTTTTCTCCTATTATTGAAACCATATTAATACATTATCTGTTCTTAAATGTTTTTAGCACAAAACGTCCATGAAGTAGGTCCTTTCTTGTAAATTCAAAAACAAAACTAAATAAAAACTACCAAACCTCAAATAAATATCTACAACATACCTTTGGAACTCTGTTCCTTCCAAATATAAATCAAAAGAACTTCTGGCTTCAGGATGTCTCAACAAGGACTTGGGAGTCATTAATACAAGGGGTTTACGGAAAGGAAGAGCGATTTGCCTACGCAAGATGTGAAACAGATTAGAAGGTAAAGTACAATTAGCAACAATCCAATTGATATCCCGCAACTGCTTCACCACGAAATGTTCATCTTCCGGCGGAGCACAATCTTCGTCATCATCGGATAATGATAGAAAACGTTCCATACGAGCTGATGAATGCTCAGGCCCCTAGAAAATGAAGAAAATAATACAGAAAGAATAATATAAAGTAAAATAAAATGAAATACTTTGACATTTGTAAGTATAAACTAGTTTAGCATAATGGGTAAAAAATAGTTTACAGAGTACGTTTGCTTAAAAGATAGCAAATAAGAATTGAGCTTACCATCCCCTCCATGCCGTGAGGCTGGAGCATCACCAGCCCAGACTGACGTACCCATTTAGTTTGCCCAGAGCAAATAAACTGATCAATAATAATCTGAGCATTATTATTAAAATCACCGAACTGAGCTTCCCACATAACCAAAGCATTGGGATTGGTCATGGAGTATCCAGCTTCAAAGCCTAACACAGCTAAATAACAACAAGCATTATATAATAATAATTTTAAAATGAGCCAAATTTATATAATTGTAAACGGTTTACCGTTTTCTGACAATGAGCTGTTACAAACAGAATAGGGAGCTTGGTCAGGGTATAAATTCTTCATAGCGTTGTACGTTGACTTATCGACGGTTTGATGGTGCAGGACGTGGTGTCTGTTAGCAGTTAAATTAGCATTTAATTACTTAAATATAACTGTAATAAATTATACATTTTTGAATTTTGGCACAATTATTAGAATAAATACAAAAATACATTCAAAAGACTTGCACAAGAAATATCTTGCATTTATTACAAAAACGTTTATGCAAATTTTATTTTATTAAATCAACACATTTATTATTAGTTTCAAGTTTGAATTGCATATATAACAATTTATAAAGATTATTTAAATAGAAAAAATCAAATAAAAAGTCTTGGAATTATCAATTTCATGATCAAATTTAATAGTAAAATAGAGCAGAAATGGGTGATAAACCATAATTAGATTAAAAACAGTTTTTTGGATTTAAAGAAATTAGTGATATAAGTTAAAATAATTAAAGCAATTAAAATTAATTGAACTATACTACAAAGATTTATTTCTTGTAACACATAACTAGTTGTAAAAGGCATTTTGCTTTAAAGAAAGTTGTATAAACTTCTCGATACGTGTAAAAGAGATATTTAGGACGATCATCGCACACGACTAATCAATGCACGCTCTTATCGAGTTTCATTCAATAATTAAAATTTACATTTAAAATCGTTTGAAATTCAAATTTACTGTCGATTTGAAGAAAAAGTCAAATTTTGTATCAAACATATATTATTTCCAGTTTTGGTGTCATACTGTCTAGCCCTTTCTGACATCACATAATATATAACATTTATGCACTACAGAAAAATAAAGGATATAAAAAAACACACATGTTCCAAACATATAATCGAATTATTTTCAATTTCGAGTCAATGTAACATAAGTTTATAAAATGAAATATATAATATTTGCTGACCTGTGGCTGAAGGTGCCTCTTTCGACGTCTTCGCCACTTAGACGTACGTGTATTCCTTCCTTTAACAGTGACCCAAAGGCGAACGCTTCGCCTAAAGCCCAATCAGTAGTTCTTGCTGCCACCATTTCTCTACGTAAACCGAGGATTCTTTCGATACCTGAAAGTATTTATAATAAAACTTAAATTCATAAGTACGTTATAATATAAAAACTTTTTTGTCCATCAATTAAAAACACTTGTTTGTAATTTGTACGAAAAAAATTGTTCACCTTTATGCATTACGAATTCAACAGCGTTAGGAGGTGGAGACGAAAATTTTTTACCGATGTGAACCAATGTATCTTCTTTCACACCCGTTGGAGCAACCTTAAAACATATATTGAATAATTTATTTGAAGAAAATAGTTTACTTTGTCAAATATCAAGTCACCTTTAGGGGATCTTTTCCTTCAAAAAATCCAGACCAAGGTGAATCTAACCAATCCTTGAATCTGATATGAGTTTCTTTCTTTGATTTTGCAAAATCATCCTCGCAAATTTTATCATATTCATCTGCTTCCTGTTTAATTTGTTCTGCGGTGACAACACCCTCGGCTATAAGCTTCTCAGCATATTTGTCATTACCTTATTTCATAACAAAGCATGATCAATTTTCAAATAAACGATAAAATTTTTTAGGCAGTATATAAATGAAAAAATTATAGTTATGAAAAATATATAATTAACAATAAAAATCGATAATGAAAATAAAAATATATTATATGATACGAATAGTTATTCGCTTACAAGGTTTAGTGTTTCTGATTAAGGTGTACATCGTAGGCTGCGTAAACATTGGTTCGTCGGCTTCATTGTGGCCATTTCTGCGGTAACAAACGAGATCGACAACAACATCCTTGTGGAATTTAGCTCGAAAATCAGCGGCGATTTTGCAGACGTGCATCACACTTTCGGGGTGATCGGCGTTCACGTGGAATATCGGACAGTTGACCACACGAGCGACATCTTAAAAGGATGGGGAGTTTATGACGTTTTTATTCATTACAGTTTTATAGTTTTAACTTATTATTTATATGATTTATATTATATTATTAGTTATAATAGGTTGTCAAATATCTCCCTTCCGCCTTTTTGTATTATAAACCAAGAGTTGCCGATTTGCAACGTTTCTCCATATAGAAAGAAGATGCATAGTTTACAATTAGCACAATGAAAACCATGCTGTGAGTATAATATTAAATATTAATGGTTGATCAATAAAGCAAAAATTCTTGATACAAATAGTTATGGTATGCAATTCCTGTAGTTTTTAGGAATACCTATTGTTGAAATATAGGTCCAATGTGTGCAAACAAAAAATCTGAGATAAACACTTATGTTTTGTTGAGCCGTGGCGTATTTATAGAATGGCAGGGCTGGCAAAATGCCACGGGCCCCCGATTCAAAAGGACCCTTTATCCAAAGGGGCTGCTCAGAAATATTTTTAACCCTTTGCACTCCGGGCCGTTGAGTCAGCAACCACGCATCATCACCGAAAGTTGTTGGCTGTCATATTTGTCAAGAGTCTGGAATGATACAGGGTTTTCGGACTGGGTCCGACAAAGAAGTTGCGGTCCACATGTTATTTGTCGGACTCAGTCCGACAACGGAGTGGGAAGGGTTAAATTTATACTATTTAGCGCCAATTTTAATATATAGATTATATTCTATACATAGAAGAATAAAAAATCGAGTTAAAACCGAGTACTATTGTGACGATTTTTACCAAGGGCAAAATGAAATACAATCAGTAATAAGAGATTTTTTTTACTAAGACTATGGGGCCGTTCAAGTATTACGTAAGCACTATAGGGGGGCGGGGGGTTGTTGATTTGCTTATTTTGAGTTGACATGGGGGGCAGGGGAGTCTGGATGATGATTGCGCCATAGGTAGTATTTTTATTTTTTGACATTAATTGCAAAATGTTTACGTAAGCGTGGGGGGAGGGGGTATGAGCTTCGCTTACTTTTGCTGACAAGGAGGATGGGAGGTAAATAATTGTAATAAATCTGCTTACGTAATACTTGAACGATCCCTACAAAGTTATTTATAAGTTCAAATAATACCTGCTTAGGATAGAAAAAAATATGATTAAAAATACAACTGTACAAGCTATTATCATTTCTTTTAAATATATTTTTATTTTGTTTTCCTTACTTATTACATTTTAACTCAGTTCGCATAAAAAAATACAAAATAAAATTGTAGAAATTGCAACATTTATAATAGCACCTATTGTCTTAATATATTTGCAACATCTACCCAATATAATAATAAAAAATAATTTTATTTCAATTATAAATATTTTAAAAATTTCAAGGTATCTCCAAATAATTCTACAAAAACAACCCCATTAAAAAATGAAAGCATAATCATGTTCTATTAGATTTCAGTTTCATGGTTTACTTGTTATTTTATTGCATTATTTGCCCACAAGTTTGTTGTTGTTATTAATATCTATAACATTATTTTAGAAAAATGTGCCCATACCTGTACAGTACGGAGATGATCTAGAAAATCGCGGATCAGTAGTATAACCGATTTGATTATTTATGACGATGTGAATTGTCCCGTGTGTCGTGTATTCTGGCAAATCTGACAAATGCATAGTTTCAAATACAACTCCTTGGCCGGAAAAGGAAGCATCACCATGCAATTGTATAGGCAACACCTGTTAAAATAAAATTCAATTATATTTTGGGCGTGCTGAGTATTCTGTGAATTTTTACCCATATGAAAAAATATCAAAAACTCTTCAGGGATGTGCAAAGTGATGGAGTGCAGCAAAATAATTTTCAAAAAAAAATTCAGTTTTATTAATTATTTATGCAAATTTCAAGTAAGTAATTCAACAATTATACAATATTTTGATAGGATAAAAACAACAAATAATTAAGAAATTGTGAAATTATATGATAAATATATATACAACGCAAAATAACCCCACTAGACTATGAAGAATTCTAACGTAAATGATGTGAGAACCTAGAATTCGTACAGTATTTGAAACAATTTAACTTAACTGTGGTGTTCCATTTTTGATTACTTAAGAGAATGACAATTTTCATAAATACCTTTTTGCCTTCAGCATCTCCTCGATAAAATTGTTCCGCTCTAGTCTTTCCTTGCATCACAGGATTACATGCTTCTAAATGTGATGGATTGGCCACTATAGCCATAGTAATATTTTTCTTAGTTCTTCTATTCAAGCGTTGGGTGTAAGTTCCTAAATGGTATTTTACGTCGCCAGAACCCTAATGTTTAAATCAAAACAGTTAATAAATTTGATATACAACTAATTTCTAGTTAGTTTAGTTCTATCTATAAAACTCAAAAACTTTTGAATTGTAGAAATCTATCTTAAACTAGTGGTGCAAGGTAAGTTGCTGTTACTTAGCGTACTTGAATTTAAAATTTTTAAACGCTTTAATTTTTATTGAAACCTGAAAAACCTAATTTTTAGGAGATTTTTTGAAAAAATCTTGAAACGCGTAAGCGCCACGGCGCGGTCTAACGATATAGATCTTGGTACGACACCCAAAAAACTAAAACTAATCGACTACAAATTCTAAATGATATCTAAATTGAATTTTGAAGTTTGGTTCAGGAAACATAGCGAGATCGATAATCATGGAAACAGCCAGTTTTTGTAAAGTTCATATTGCGTAAAAAAGAAATTTGTACGCTTGCACACCATTTTTGTGTGACTTAAAACGCCAAGAATACCAAAATTAGCACATCAGAATTTTGGAAATAAAATAAAGTGAAAAGAAACTTACCTCATCAGCAGGTTGCAGACCAGCAAATTGAGTAAAAATCTGATAAAGTGGTTTTCTACAAACATTGGACAGGACATTGAGACGTCCTCTGTGAGCTACGCCCAGTAAAAAGAACTCAACTCCATGCAATGTCGATTCATCAATGATGTGCTTCATGGCTGGTATCAAAACTTCACAACCTTCTAAACCAAACCGTTTCTCAGACGAATATTTTTTAGCAAGAAATGCTTCAAATCTGAAAAAATAATTATGATTTTCAATTCAAATTTAATAGGCATAATTTGTATGCTATGATTTTTATCTCACCCAGCAGCTCGACTTAAGCGACTCAGCAGAAGTTTTTTCTCTTCTTTAGTTGGGTTTATTATACCGGGAGGTTCCAACCTTTTTCTTATCCATTGACAAATTTCCATTGAATTAATGTGCATGTATTCAGCGCCAATGTAGCCGCAGTATACTTTTTCCAAACGACTTAGTATTTCGCTGAAGTAAAGATTTTTACTTTTTTAATTTAATTTGGGGGATAAAATTTATAAAGTAAATTTATAAATTGGATGAAATTACTTATTTTGTAAACATATTGAAACTACTTATATTAATAATTAATATATTGAAATTTTTAACACGCAAGAAAATAGTACGGAACTTGAAGATACATATATTAAATATGATAAAAACCTATTCTTGAAGTTTTAATGTTTTTATTTGAAATCTTGGTTTGTTATACTTTAAATAAAAGTGTTTAACACTGACTGTCATATTTTAAAAAAGCAGAAGTTTATGTATTGAAAAAGCTTGGATTGAGCGCATTTTGAATGATAAAATACTTCATTGAATCATTTAAATAATAGCATGCATATAATATGTGTTTTTCACTAAATGATTTTGCCAAATTGGATTAAATATAATATTTAAATCTGTCGTTAGCAGCAAAAAATCTGTTTTTGCTCTAAAGTTGTTTCACGTTTTCAGTAACCCAGAGTGGATTATGGCTATGGCTTCGATTTCATTTATATGATAAAAAATAATGTAAAGATAAATGGTAAGTAGTATGTAATCTAATTGAATATATTATAAAAACAAACAAATTTTACTTTGCACAGGCATAAATGCACGTACGTACATTTTTAAGAGAGAATTTAAGAAAGTTAATGGCAACTTATTATAAATATTTTACAATAATGATTATCAACTTCCTTTATTTCTCAATGAAAATGTATAACTATAAGAGCATAAATTGTTTATTATATTGCATTTGTAATAATATAAAATATCACCTCAATGGTAGAGACTTCTCCGAGCCGCCAATAAAAGTGGTAAAAGGCAACTTGAACGTTTTTTCCATGTCAAGCCCCTCTAATTGAGAAAAATATAAAAAGCATCCAGAGAAAAAGATTATAAGGTATTTCATAAGCTTAAAAAGTACAAATTATTTATCATACCCATTAGATATTGTCTAACAACTATTTCGGACTGCGAAGCCTTTGTTCCAGTAAACTTTCCATGAAGATCTGCATACATGATGCCCAGCGGATCCAACTCGGCCACAAGATGTCCTCTGACCTATAATATAAAGAAACTAGCTGTAAGTGGAATTCTGTCTTAAGGCAATTAAGGCATCGTGCCTTAAGGCAAATTGCTGGAACTTCCCGTACCAAAAATTATTACTTTTTTAAAAACGAATAACATTTTTGAAAAAAATTTACTTCAAAAAAATAAAATTTTTGACAAAAAAAATTTTCTTTATTATTTTTTTTAATTTTTTTTTTTTGAAAAAAAAATGTTTTTTTTATTTTGACATATTTTGAAAGATCTAGACTTTTTTGCAAAGCAATCGTACTGTTTAACTGCATAAAGACGAAATATCAAACCGCGTAAGCGCCGCGTCGACGTCTAACGCGTAAACATTGGTACGGAACCCATAGGAATGTAAACCAAAATTATACTTATTGTTAAAATCTCTATAAAATATCTGATAATTTGATGTGCATATGTCTAATGATCATTTTTGACCGCCAAATGGCATTTTTTTTTACTTTTTTCATTAGATCTCCGAAACCGCTAGACCTGCCTTTATGAAAATTTGATCGGTTTTTCACCTTGTCAATACAAGTAAAATGTTTTATTAAAATCGGACGCTCCGTTCTCTTAAAAACTGAGTTGCCGTTTTCGGCACTTTTTGCCCCGTATCTTCGGAACGGCTAGACCTGACTCCGCCAAAAACTAATCAGCACGTCTCCTTATTAATACGAATCGAATGTTTTTTGAATTATTCAAATCGGTTGATCAGTGTTCCCGAAATCGTCGACGAAAATTTGTATCCGCACATACATACACACGCACACACACACACACACACACACACACATACATCCATTTTTTCTAAGGTATGCCAAAATATTCAGAAACCTTTGAAACGTCGAGAAATGCAAAAATTTTCATTTTCGATTTTTTTGCGATTACTATAACTTGCCCTACGGGAAGTTAAAAATGCAAATCATAATATCTATTGTCTCACAATCTTCTAGCTCACCTGATAGCTTCTGATGATATTTTGGACGGCCAAGTGGTCATCAATGTTTTTCTCGTCGGCAGTTCCCATCCCAGGTGTTGTTCCTGCTAAAGCAGGTAATATACTACACGCTGATAGATGGTTTTTAGGTAAAGGAGCAAGTGTCGGTGGGGACACATACCCACCTCCAGCAGCCGAATTCCTAAAGTATGAATCCCACGACTAAAAGAAAAAATAAATAAAATTCCTGACAAGGTTTTAATCAAAATCAGTCTGGGGGATATACTTACGACATGTACGCTCTTGGGATCTTGAAGCCACGAGTTGTACATGTCTTCTACGTAGGTGCCGCTGGTGCCACTCAGGAAACTCTCGTCTGAACAAGGAGACGCATAACCACGTTTCTGTAAACGGCAACAAGAGCCAGCAGCAATACTTCCATCGCAGACTCTAACAATCTGAAATAAAAACTTACTTATGATTACAAACTGGATTACAAAAATAAATATTCTCTAATTTAATTTTAATTATTAAATTAATCACACAAATAAAAACTGGCTGAACTAGAGTTAAACAGAAACACTATTGTTTTAAATGTTTTGATATTAAGCATCAAGAAGATATTTTTGTTTAAAAATTCATATGTAAGACTGCAAATCGTGCAAATTTTGCCGCAGCTTATTAGACCCTTGGCACAGCGTAATCGGCATCCCTGGCGTTCAAACCATTTTAGCTATATGTATTAAACAATATTAGTATTACATTACATATTGCTAATAATATATATATATATATATATATATATATATATATATACATATATATATATATATGCGTGTTTTTTTCAAAAACTCTATTTAGTCGCATTTAATTAATTTATTTTAAACCAAATTATTTCTGTTAAAATATTAATAAATTTGATATACTGATCAATTCCATCAATAACAGAATAATTTCTTTAAGATATGTAAACTGAAAATCATATGACGTTTAGTTATAGCAATATTATAACATAAAACTGAGTAAATAATGGAAATATTTAACAATTCTCAAATAAATTAGTTCAAGCTGTCATTTAAATTAGTAACATGTATTAAATATTGCAATTACAACCGAATCCTTACCTTTGCATTTTTGCATGTAGTAAATAACGATTTGCTTGTTCTTGCGTAATGCGGCTTCGCCGAGTGCATGATCAATCTCGTTCTGCCGTACATTTCGTATAATATCGTTCAAATAGCTGCCAGCAATCAGAGTTTCGCTTTTTAAAAATATTTGAACAATCCGAAAGCAAAGGACGATCCAAAGGCAAAAACGGAAAACCTTGCGTAAGTTCATAGAGCGAGTTTTTAACAAATCAAAATGTCGAATTAAAAATTATTCAAATGCAACAGTTTCGCGGCACTTTTTGTTACGAGAGTTTCAATTATTCATTCGCTCAACGATACTCGTTTTTTTTCTAAAAAAAATGCCTATGCGATTTTGTTGATATAACAAGCGGGTTTGAATGAATCATGCGAGCCATGCAAAGTTGACAACTATAACAAGCCCTTCAAATATAAATATAAACTATGTAGTTGGCATTGGTATTTTGCTTTGAGGCAAGTTACATGAACTTTCCGATATGTGTAAATAATCGACTTATTATAAGTGATTAAAAGTGGATTTATTACAAATCATTAAAAACGAACGAACAATCTATCGTTATACCAAGTACATCGTCTAATTTTAATTTGAACAAACGTCAAAAAAACTACTCATTTTAGCAAAGTTTGAAGAATTTTTAAAATTAAACTACTTGTCGTAAGGCCTTAATATTTCAGTAAGTTCTATAAAAATCGGCTTAATTTTTATTTCAACAGTTAATTACAAGAAGAAGGCTCGATTTCTCACTAACTTTTCACCTAAACCTAGTTCTATCAGTTTTAATAAGTTACTTATAAGTTAATGAGCTGAGTGAACCTCGTCTCTGGGTGCGTGTAAAGTTTTTGTTAAAATGTACCTCATCAGAGGGGACATAGTGTCAAACAATGCAACTGTTGATACAATCAATGCATCAAATAATTTGAATACAGCGCTATGCCCAGGTTTATCAGATGTAGCCCAAAACCCGCTAACAAGCTCATGTGAATAGTAAGACGGTGTGAATAGTAAAGTAGAACCAATGGCTAAACTGTCAAAAATAATTTCAGAAAATTTTATTTTACAACGGAATGAGTCATTGAAGAGCCTTGAGAAACTGATAAATGAACTGCACATGATTGTCAAATCAAAGTCAAATATACATAAAGAAGTGAAGATAAAAACAGGCAACATAGCGGCTGTAATTACGGAGTCACGGAAAATACGGAAGTAATGATAAATGAAGTGCAATCTGGTGAAACAGCTCCTATAGAAGAAAATGTACGGCAGGACACAAGCAAAGCCACAAGAAACCGAAACTCACAACATATAAGCAATAATCAGGTTAAGGATGAGGCCGAAGTTATTTATAAGGGGCACCAAAAAACTATATAAATAAGGGATATTGATGATGATATCTCAAAAATTGATATCCAGTCAGCACTACAAAAAGCAACCGGAGGAGCCTGCAACACACCAACAGAAGCAATTAAGATTCGTAAGATTGCTACTGTAGCTCTTCCAGCGGCAATTGTACACGATCTGCTCAAAGCAAGTAGCAAAATACGAATTGGATGGGCTAACTGTCGAATTAAAACCATCAAAAAACCAATCCGATGCTTTAAATGCTGGCTATTCGGACACGACTTGCTTATGCATACGGTAAGAGATATGAAAATTGATGTTGCTCTCTTACCAGAACCTTACAAACAACTAACTGATTGGGCATGGGAAACGGACAGTATCACCAAAGCTGTTATTTGGTCCTATGGCAAATTTTGTTTCCAGAATGTTGTTAACAATAGCATCGCTGAATTTGTAGCAGCATCATTAGATGACATACATTTATACAGCTGTTACGCTCCACCTAGTCTTTCTTTGCCAGATTTTGTTGATTTTTTAGATCGTCTTGTAGAGGATGCAAAACGACACCATACCGTAGCGATAGCCGGTGACTTTAACGCATGGGCGGTAGACAGGGGAAGTAGGAAGACTAATGCAAGAGGTAAAGCACTTTTAGAGGCATTTAATGCACTTGATGTTGTTTTACTAAATAGCGGTGATAAGCCAACCTTTGTCAAGGACAGTGCAAGCTCAATAATGGACCTTACTTTTGTTAGCAATGGCCTCGTCAAAATGAATTGCAATTGGGAGTTATTAGATGTCTACACAGCTAGTGACCACAATGCAATCACCTGGGAAATATCAACGAATAGAAACATTAGAAGACATGGGAAGATATCAAGAGCCATTGGGTGGAAAATAAAATCTTTTGATGAAAGCGCCATGAGAGTTGCCTTAAATTGCAAACCTATAATTTTAGAATACGCAGATGAGCATACTAGAGAGCTGATGGAGAGAATAACCGAAGCCTGTGATATCAGTATGACTCGTAAGCATGGCATAAATCAAAGATAATCTGTGCACTGGTGGACAGAAGAAAACAGCTCTCTTCGTAAAGAGTACCTAAAGAAAAAAAAGATTTCTCAGCGATGATATAGTCTCACAAATTCTGCACAACTGGTAGTGGAATATAAACAGGCACTTCGGCAACTGAATAAAGCTATCAAAGATAGTAAAGTTAGGTGCTGGAAAGAACTTTTGGATGAAGTCAAGGAAAACCCATGGGAAAGGCCTTATAAGTTGTAATGTCTCGCCTCAAAAGCCAGCCAATACCTTCACCAACTTGCCCACGACTATTGAATATAATAGTAACTACTTTGTTCTCACGACAACCTAATTTAAACTACCAGGTAACACATGTAGAACTGAATAATATTCCACCTATAACACTGCAAGAACTGATGGAAGCGTGTCATCGGGTTGGAAATAGTAAGGCACCGGGATTAGATGGAATTTCTAATATTGCCTTAAAAACAACAATTATTACATCTCCGACAATGTTTCTTAATGCCTATAATACATGTCTGAAAGAAGAGGTTTTCCACGAAAATGGAAACAGCAAAGATTAGTGCTTCTTTCCAAAAGAAAAAAAAAACACCAGATGAACCATCACCACCAAAAAATAGATGCAGTAGTTGACCAAATCCTAGCAGACAATCATTATGGTTTTCGCCAAGGGCGATCAACTATCGATGCTATAAACTTGGTAGTTAATACTGCTAAGGAAGCGATTGCTGGAACCAGATGGAAGGGGAGTGCAAAGAAGTACTGTCTTGTAGTGTTGTAGCTACATTGGATATAAAAAATGCTTTCAATTCTGCAAACTGGGATCGCGTATAGTATACCTCTGCAATATAGTCGCAAGCTACTTTACAGACAGAATTCTAATGTACGATTCACGCGATGGTACAGAAGAATATAACAGTAGGTGTGCCGCAGGGCTCTGTTCTAGGCACATTGCTGTGGAATATTATGTATGATGGTCTTTTGAGACTTGAGATTCCAGCATGTGTAAAACTAGTAGCATATGCAGACAATGTTGTCATAGTATAGTTGTCTCCAAACAAATTAATAAGATCGTAAGTCTACTTGATATAACTATAAATTTGAGAACAATGAACCTCAAATTAGCACAACAAAAAAGTGAAGCTATTTTTATCACGAGTAGAAAAACAATAGAGACCATCAAGCTGTACATAGGAAATCTGGAGATCACGTCAAAACCTCACCTCTGTTACCTAGGCGTAATGCTTGATGCTCGTTTGAATTTCAATCAACAGGTGGTACACGTTAGTGCTAAGGCGTCAATAGTAAGGACGAGACTTGCTCGACTGATGCCTTATGTTAGAGGCCTTAAACAAACCAGAAGGATATTACTATCGTCAGTGGTTACTTCGGTACTGACATATGGTATCTTCATATGGGCTGATCCTCGCTCTCAAAACTCAAAAATCGAGGAGAATGGCAGGATCTATATATCGCCTCAGTGCTTTAAGAATTGCATGCGCATTTCGCACAATATCGGAGGAAGGAGTATGCGTCATTTCAGGAACTCTGCATCCCTTAGTCTTAGCAGAGGAAAGACGGACAATTTACCATAGAAGACATCAACAACTAAGTCCTGAAAAGTTGAGATTAGAAGAACGGCAGAACAGCATTGACCGATGGCAACAACTTTGGGATGTCGCAGTAAAGGGCAGATGGACGCATCGTCTCATTCCAAACATCAAAGTCTGGCTAAGTCGCAAGCATGGAGAAGAAAATTATTATACTACGCAAATGCTATCTGAGCACGGCTGTTTTCGAGCCTACTTACATCGCTTCAAGCACGAAAGCTCGCCGGATTGCCTATATAGTTTGGGCGAAAACGAATATGCTGAGCATGTGTTCTTTGTGTGCCCGTGATTTGGTGCTCTATGAGGCGATGTGGAAGAGACATTGAGGCGAAGAATGACTCCAGGTAATGTCGTTGAAGTGATGCCGATAAGTGAAGCTGCTTGGAACGCCCCTAGACAGATTTGCGAGAGAGGTGTTAATTGACCTGCATTCTATGGAAAGAGAAAGGCCGAATGGGACTTCGCTCATTTAAAAGCTGAGTATAAGTTTAAGAACTATAACATTTATTATAACAAGTTAAGAATTATAACATTCTACATCCTTCCCCCGCAAAGTAATGCCTAACGGCAGTTTCCGTCGTGACCAGAGGCAAGGGCAAAGCGGAGGTTTTAGTCGGTATATTGTACCAGGGTATTGAGTCTGACATACCAAGACAAAACATCAGTCGCTATACAAAAAAACACATACTTATACACACACACATACATCCATTTTTTATAAGGTATGCCAAAATGTTCAGAAACTTCTGAAACGTTGAGATATATAAAAATTGACATTTTTTATTTTTTGCAATTACTATAACTTGCCCTACGGGAAGTTAAAATTGGTCGAAAAATATTTTTTTTAACACTTTATTACAAGAAAACGGCCCGGCCGTTCTTTACCTAAAAATAATCAGCACGATTCCCAATCAATATGTGTATATATAATATATATATATATATATATATATATATATATATATACATACAGGGCCGGTCCTGGGGTCCTTAGCGCCCGCATGCAACTTTTTTTCTAGCGCCCCCCCCCCTATTAATTTTCACCGTTTTAACAGTTTATCATTAAAATTATATAAATATTTACATATTTTTTAAAAATTAATTTTAAATTATTCTGGATTTTGTACACAAAAAATAGATTATAATTTAGAAGGGTATAAAATATATTGATTTCAAATTTATTTATTTCACATTTTAGTAATATTCAATATGTAGTAAATTGGTTAAGGATGTAAGTTCGACTACCATAGCAAAAGAATTAATATTTTTGTTAAAGTTGTAGAATTTTAGAAATGCATTTCAGAAATAGTATTTATTATTTTGATATAAAGATCTTGATATCAAAATAATAAATACTATTTCTGAAATGCATTTCTTAAATTCTATAATTTTAATTTAACAAAAATATTAAGTATTTCACTTATTAAATAAATTATATTTAATTTTTCTGGATTTAGTGCACAAAAAATTAGATATAATCTAAAAGCGTATAAAATATATTGATTTTAAATTTATTTAGAAAATCGAGGCGATTCGGGGGTTGATTATAATCAAGTATTTTGAAATTTTCAATTATTTTTAACGCATGTACAATGTTAATATTTAAACAAACTAGCATTTAATTTTCAAACATAACACTCGTATTTCGTGTTGAATTTTTTAAATTTTAATTTAATTTAATTTTTCATCATTTATAATATCCAAAATTGCGTCGTAAACTTCTCCTTATTGATATCGTAAGAGCCGTCATATTCAGAGTATCAGCTATTGTTGTTTGAAAGTTAAATTTTTAACGTATTTTAGAAGTATTGTTCAAAAATCAGTAAGAAATGCAAAGAAATTACACATTTCTTGAACAATATTGAAAAAAAAAACTTCTTATATTGGATATGTAATATTTCTGTATAGTTAATAATTATTAAATTTAGAGTATGGACACCACTAGGTATATATAAACAAGTCTTAAGATTTTCGTTCCAAAGTGAATTTTGCTTTCATTTTTCATATTTGTTCCACGCATGTCTTCAACATTCAAAGTTCAACAGATGCGAAACATTTGCAACAAAAGCAAAAGTTACAATTCAATGTCTCGGAATAAACATGTCATTTTCTAAGCACTGACTCCCCATTTTTTATAATTTGTTTATATTTTTTAACAAGTTCCGATTCAACTAAATAAGCTCGCAATTTTTCGTCAATAATGCCCAACAACTAATTTAATCTTTCGCAGGTTTGCGCTTATGGGATTGAACACTAGATAATTTCTTTTTCGATTCCACGGTAACTTCAAATAAAGAAAAAATTGAATAAGTAGATTAAGCAATAAACAGAGTTGTTATTTAATAATTTGCAAAATTATTAATCGGTTAATTCTTTCTACTGATATCACATTGCAAAATAAATATGCTTGTTGTGTCTCCGTATCCCTAGTTAAGTTGAATTATTTATTATAATTTATTAAGTATTCTAGATTTTAAATAAATAATTCTAGATTTTATATAAAAAAATATAAATATTATATTATAAGCCCCCTAAGGCTTGCGCCCGCATTTTTTGCATGCATCGCATGCAAGGTAGGACCGGCCCTGTATATATATATATATATATATATATATATATATATATATATCTTTCGAACAGTTTTTGAATTTTCACTTTTCTCCGATTCACAAATGAACGGCTTAGTTGATAAACGCTAGCCCTCATCGAGATACATCGAATGGCTTTTAAATTTTTGAAATCGGTCTAGCCGTTTTTGAGAAAACGTCGATTTGCGGTAAAAAATCTGTTCATACACACACATACTTCTTCCAAATTTGGTCTCATTCGATACAAAACGTCGAGAAAACATAAAATTAGCGAAATCATAATTTTTTTATGAAAACAAACTTCTCTTTCCGGAAGTTAATAACAGTAAATTGTGAGTATAATTTGTCAAACGCTTTAATTGCGGTGAGCTATCAACGCACTTGTACTTATAACAAATCACCCTGCTATTAGTATTTGCAGATCTTGACGTATCAGAGAGTTAATAACTTTACTTATATATGGTTAAGAAGGTTGGCAACTTTTGCCTTTGATCGATCACAACTTACGTTATGGAATCACTCAATATGAGAGCATACTTCAAAATAAAAAAACTATTGAAATCATCAGTGTGCACATAAATAAAAAACATTGGCAGCTGGATTAATGTCAAGATTTATGTCCAATACAAATGTTTGCAAATGAATTTCATACATCTCAGATTATATTTTGTTGTGTAACATTTCTTTGACCGCGACGACATCAGCACAATGAACAATAAAAAACGAACACTCAAAAAAGTACAAAAACCGCTACGAAAACCGCCCAATCTCACTTGCCCGAGAAATTCGCCAGAGTGTTACAAGAGCCAGATTGAAATAGAAATTTACTTTACAATAATTTCTGTCAATAACAAAATCTGACAATGTTCCGAAAATTTTGCATTTTAAATGTCTTTTTTATTACTATATTACTTATTGTTCTTCTAGGATAGATATAAAAATTACTGTATAATAAAAAAAGACATTTGGAATTCAAAGTTACATAGAATTCTCTTCTCAGTGTACTCAATGCATCGAAATAAAAACTTGTTTTGATGTTTGTGTATCTTTTTATTCAAATACAGATTTCTTTCATGTTTTTTTAAGTAACAAATAATTCTAAAATCATATATTTTGAATTAACTAAACTCGCAAAGATAAATTAGGGAGACAATAAAAACTACTTCGTCCTAATAAATAATATTCACTAATTATAAGTAGTAGTTTCTTTCCACAAGTCCTTTAACGTCATTCATTGCAACTTATATTAAATAAATAACATCGTTCACCTGCACTGAACCCCTCTAGGGGGCGCATCAATAATACTTATATACATGTGACGCAATCGAACTCAAAAATTTCATTTTACCCTTAAATACATGCGCACAATAATTTTGAAAATGATAAAATTATTTTTAGTAACTTCATGAAAAAATATACTAATGTATTTTTGCAATATTATAATTTACAGTTAAAACACAGTAATACCAAAAATTGATGTGCATAACACAGAAAAAATGTTTATCACATTAGCAATAACAGATTTCAATACAAAATAAACATTCCACTGTTAACAATTAAAATATAGCTAAACATTTGCACTTTAATCATTACATCTAATATATTAATTTTTAATTCTCAATCTAAAATCCAAAACTTTCTTTTTTATTGTTATTAATTTTTTCGTGCATACTAATCCTATTAATATTATTCACATGTTTGTGCATTTACATTCATTATAAATAAGCCTCGTCTCATCACATGAGGCCAATCTCAAAATTATATGGTAATGAGCAAAATCAAGTCATATATGACTTGAAAATGTTATTTTCTGCAAATCATATATGTATGTTTAGATAGATGTGAGTACTTAGTTTATTTTTTTCACTTTTCTTAATTTTTGCTCTTTTTTGTTTTGTTTTTTTAATAAAAGATTGATTTTTTACTTTTTAATAAACTACATTGTTTGCAATCTCTCCAAGCATCTCTAAAATATAGTAAAAGAAAATATAGATTCACTAATCTATTCTGAACACACACTATTTTTATTTTTGCGTAACCTCTAAAGATAACTTCGTATGAACAATTGTCCATTTTTTCAATATGATGTAATAAATGTAAGTAATAAGAAACGAAATTATCATTAGAAACTACGCAAAGACCAAACAACATTGTGCTAGAACAAAAAAGGACAAATATTGTTCAATATAATAATACACAACACACAAGCATATTATACGAGTATATATATATATATATATATATATATATATATATATATATATATGTGTGTGTGTGTGTGTGTGTGTGTGTTTTATATGTATGTAGATTCCGGATCAACATTTTGAAAATAAAACGACTAGAAATTTTATAATTTTTTCAGTTTTACTACATACTTCAAAAATGTATGTGTATTATAAAAATATGTAAATAAGCAAATGAAAATAAATAATGCTCTACATGAGATAAAAAAATAACACATATTTAAAATGCTAACTGAAATAAATACATAAATATGCAAAAAAAAAGTTACTTGCAATAAAAATAATTTGTGTTTAAACAAAAAAAAATAATATGCACTTACGTTATAAATAACAAATAAATATTTATAAATTGCTCGCTATAAATTTCTTTACTTATCAGACCCAACAAAACCAATAGCGTGGTTGTTCGCATCTGATAGCAGTGATTTTCTAATTTATTATTCTTTAATTCCTTTTTAGGGTTACAAGCTCATCGCTTCATTCAAATACTGAGAAAGTTCTTTGAGATGCTGTGCCTTGGATCCTGTGGCAGTTGAAGCAGAAACTGCACGGCCGACGTAGCTGCGAAGAAATAATTAATATAAGACTATGCAGAGAAAAAGATGCTATGACAATATGAATACATATACAACATAAGATTGACTAATATATTATGTTGCACATTACTCACAAAGCAATCCCACAGTAACAAATGAAATGACTTCAAAAGATAATATAAAAAGATTAAAATATGAAAAGATCTCTACAAAATAGTTTCATGTCTCTCACATTATTCAAATTCAAGCAAGACCAACAATCCAATGGGTGCCTTTCTTAGCTTTACTAGACAGCAAAATAATACATATTGCATAATCGAAGAATCATATAATAATATTATATATATATATATATATATATATATATATATATACACACACACACATATACATACATACATAGGTCTATTGTATAATTCAAAATTTGATGTTGACAATATGTATTAACAAAATCTAATAATCGGGCGTAACATCAATAAAACATATATTTTCCTAGAATTTATTCAGTGGAAACTAAAAATAATATTTAAAAAAGATAACAAATAAGATTAAAAAGTACTTTGCTAATCTTGCTGTTAAAAATAAAAAAATAATAATCCATGGTATGAGGATATAGTAATGCATTACACTATGCAATATCAACATTAAACTTGTATTCAACACAATATTTCACAATTGTACTAAAATTAAATAATTACATAATATACAGGTAATCCCTGCTCTAACACGGTTTATGAATTGATACCATCCCCCTTATAACACAATACTTTTAAAGCACGGTTTCGCTCTAACACGGTTTGAGAATTGAGCAAAACCCTAATAAAATCAAAAATGTAGTAAAATCTATGAAAAACAAACTTTATTTAATCTAAAATTAGTAAAATCACAATAGCTCAATAAATGTGATGAAACTAATGCAAAAAGTAACTAATTTGATACTATTATTCGAGCGCGTACGTTCTATAGAAAAAAAATTCTAGACTTAGCCAAACAATTAGCCAATTAGTCTTAAACAAAGATCCTTTGAATAAAATAAACAAAATTTTAAAAAAGATAACTTTGTATGTGGTAAATATATAAATATCTTTTCGCTAAAAGTAAGTAATCGCAAATATAATTGTTTTTGAAAAAAAAACTGCACGGATCTGGAGGTAGTACAGAAAGCTGCTCGGAGTATAAGGATATCTTGCAAAAAAAGGATAGCACTTACCATTTAATTGTGACGAAAAATATCATATAATTGATGTAATGTATATCACTTCTTAAAAAAAATTAATATAACAATATGTATTATAAAATCATGATATGTAGTAGCATGTTTTTTTAAATTCTTGAAATGTAACCCCTCTTTCTGTACTAGATGTCTGCCCCGTATAACACGATAACACACACATAACACGCTTCTTTTATGAAACGTAACTAACGTGGTATGCGGGGGTTACCTGTATTATATATTTACCATACATTATAGAACTATTTTCTTGGAAAAAACTATTTTATAAATCAGGACCCCGACCAAAACCTAGAAATGTTATCTATCAAATTAATTGCCTTGATTGTAATTTAATTTATATAGGAGTAACAAGCCAGTATTTAATTACACGATTACAACATAAAAATAAATCAAAAATCCTGGACAATTTGAAACTATGCACATACCATATTTTTTAAAACACAACATAAACTTTTTTAACCAGATTGTACTACATTTTGTACAACTGTATGAATCATACATCCAATAAAATATTTGCTTCAATTAAAGAAATCATGGTGCTCTAAGCATAAGCAAGCGCAAGACCAAGTATTGTCTTGAAAAAAAAAAATGAAAGATATATATCATAGCAGCAAATGAGAAAAAGTGAATTTGTACTCATCTGTACTCCACTGATTACAATTATAAAAATAGTGTAAATTCTTGAAAATCAATACTAAATGTAATCAAATATGGCTTGAGAGTGAATCCAACAAAATTGACACTCTTTGTTGGACACTTGTATGATCCAGTTCTTCGAATATAAACCATAAAACTAGATATGACACAATCTATAGAGATTTTTTTTCAGTGTTTCATCTTAAATCATACACCCTAATTGTTTTTGTTTCGTCATTCATTTAAATTCAGTTTAAAGTTCAGATTAATGAGCTGAACAAGTGGAATCAACCAAAAATAATATACAATATACATTAAATAATTTTAAAAGCACAAGGCATATACAATAAATATGAATATTTTATTTGATTATGTAGATTTAGATAGATAGATAGAATTGTTTATATAGATATTATTTACAATCATTAGTAACACATTTGCTAACTTGAACATGTGAGCAAGAACATTATGTATAACCAATATTAATTACTGCTGATCCCATAATTTTTTGTTGCCATGAAATAACATTTGTACTATGAATAAAGCAGAAAAAACATTCAATAATACACGACCGGCCCTCACCTAATAATTCGCGTTCTTTCCGCGCCTGAATCTAACGTTTTGGCTTTTTCGTCCTTTACAGCGTTTTTCGAACCAAACAGACCGCCCAACCAGCCTCCTGACTTTTCATTGCTTTTTATATTTACGTTGTCGCTCGAATGACTGTAATATTACGTATTTATCATGAGAAGACAAGTAGTAACCTGCTTAGAAATGATTAACAATGACACTAACATAACGCAAAAAATATATCAACCCCACTAATTCAAATTACTAATTTGAAAGTATGCTAAAGTGTGTTTCAGTTCCATTATTGAAAATTCAATGGCAATGCAGCTCGCATAAATTTGATTGATTGGGTTTACAAATATCATCATTATTTTATACGTAATTTAACAAATAGCTAAGGCTGGTTGTGCTGCTGTGCGCAAGTTTGCTATCTTTCAAACAATAACATATGCGAAATATGGCAATACTCAGTAGTCATTAACAATGAGAATAGAAATAGGATTCAAATGTTTTATTCTTAATTACGAATTTTGATTACTCTGATTCATATATTCAATACTCAGTGTATAAAATTCAAACAAATGCATGGTGTGTGTATAGTGCCAAAACGATTATTAAATAAACCAAAAACACTTACTAACCTGATTGGTCTACCACCATTTAGACACGTGCTAAATCTGGGTTGTACATATGTCCAGGCACCCATGTTCTTTTGCTCTTCTTGAGCCCATACAAGATTTGCATTAGGATATTTCGCACATTCTTTCTTTATCAAATCATATGGGAAAGGAGAAATCTATAATAAAATATAAAATACTCATGTAATGTGCTTACTTTTCAGAAAACATGCCAACAGTATACTTATGACATTTCTATGATCATTTAATAATCCTTGTTAATAATTTTCTTACTTGCTCTACTCTAGCAATTGCAATAGAATTATCCAATTTCTTTTCACGGCGCGCATTGGTCAAGTCGTAGTAGATTTTACCAGAGCAGAAAATTAACTTCTTGACAGAGCTGGGATCTGATGCTGCTGGTCCTTCTTCTGGAATCATTCTAAAAAATGATGTATTAAAATGCAAACTAAATTCTTTAACTGGTAACTAACTAAAAATATATAGATTTAGAAAATTTCAATTTTTAAAATTCAAATCATTTATTATTCTACCTGATAAATTCAGTGTTCTCTGTCATTTGATCAAAAGAACTCTTAGCTTCTGGATGTCTCAACAACGATTTTGGAGTCATAATGATCAATGGCTTACGGAAAGGTAAAGCAATTTGTCTACGTAAAATATGAAAATAATTAGCAGGTGTTGTGCAGTTGGCTACAATCCAGTTGATATCATGCAATTGTCGAACAGCAAATTCTTCGCATTCTGGAGGGAAATAATCGGGATCATCTGAAGAGAGCTGAAGAAATCTTTCCAAACGTCCAGAAGAATGTTCAGGTCCCTTAGAAAAATTTACAATGAGAAATAGTAAATAAAACAAAAATTCAGAAATATTCCTTTGATAGTTTCAAAGTACTAAATTTTTTGATATATAAAATAATATAAAATAAAATAATATAATAAAATAATAGTACATATTATTAAATATAATCTTGTCTATATTGAACTCACCATTCCCTCCATACCATGGGGTTGAAGCATAACTAATCCAGATTGACGTACCCACTTAGTCTGTCCAGAACAGATAAACTGATCTATAATGCATTGTGCAGTGTTATTGAAGTCACCGAATTGAGCTTCCCACATAACCAATGCATTGGGATTTGTCATTGAATATCCTACTTCAAAACCTAGCACACCTAAAAAAAAAATTATAATCGATGAATTCCTTGAATCGATAAATTGTAAAATAAAAATAAAATAAAATAATCAATAAGCACTACAAAAAAATACTAGCGGTTCCCAATCACGCGTTTTATTTATATACATATAAATAAAAATCTAAACAAAATGTGATTCTAATCAAGATGGATAATAACGCACATATATTATGCGATTGATTGTTAAGCTATATCCCATTCAGTAACACAAAATAAGCTTATAAAAATATCAGCATTAATTATACTGTAAAAACCATAAAACATCAAAACACCACATAACATATATCAAACCAACTATCAAAACTTTTTTTCAAAGCAATCGTACTGCTTTAACTGCATAGAGACAAAATATAGAAGCGCGTAAGCACCGCGTCGCCGTCTAACGGATAAACATTGGTAAGGAATTTACACATGTGATATAGACATGTGAAAAATGTAAACAAAATTTATACTTATTGTTAAAATCTCTATAAAGTATCTGATAATTTGATGTGCATATGTCTAATGATCATTTTTGACCGGCAAATGGCATTCTTTTTTACTTTTTTTTACTAGATCTCCAAAACCGCTAGACCTGCCTTCATGAAAATTTGATCAGTCTTCATCTTGTTAATACAAGTAAAATGTTTTTTTGAATTATTAAAATTGGACGCTCCGTTCTCTTGTGTTACCGTTTTTGGAACTTTTTGCCCCATATCTTCGGAACGGCTAGACCTGCCTTCGCTAAAAACTTTGGTCTCCTTATCAATACGAATCATATGTTTTTTAAATTATTCAAATCGGTTGACTCGTGTTCCTGAAATCGTCGACGAATATCCGCACACACACACATACACACACACATACATCCATTTTTTCTTAGGTATGGCAAAATGTTCAGAAGGTTTCGAAACATGTCGTCAACATGTTGACATTTCTGCCTCGGGAATGTACGCATAAACTATTTTTTCCGTGCAAAATATATTATATTCAACAAATATTTTGCTATGCTCTGTTCAACAAAAACAAAAAAACAAGTTAATGTATATATGATAGTGCAAAATTATGTGCCATACGCTAGTTACTGATTTAAAACCTTATTTATATCCACTGATGATGACATAAAATCCTATGTCAAAACGTTTGGAAAAATTAAAGATTAACTTCTAAATCTTTCCCTTTTATTTGATGTATGCCCTTGAAGAACTTACTCATATATATATATATATATATATATATATATATATATATATATATATATATAGATATACATACCAAATTCAGAAAGTGAACTGTTGCAAACCGAGTATGGAGCTTGATCAGGGTACAAGTGAGACAATGGGCGGTAAGTTGCCTTATCAACGGTTTGATGATGAAGAACATGATGTCTATAAAATATAACATCATAATTGTTACAATTTTTAAATAACATCGTATTTTATAATATGCAAAGAATATATTTTAACCTGTGCGAAAATGTGCCTCTTTCTACATCCTGGCCACTGAGACGCACATGAATACCTTCCTTCAATAAAGAACCAAAGGCCATTGCTTCACCCAAAGCCCAGTCAGCTTGCCTTGCATTAACCATTTCCATACGAGCTTTCAATATTCTGGCAATACCTATTAAATAAACAATAATAATAATTACAAAATAAAAAAATATATTAATAGTGACAATTTGTGATAACAAATACCTTTGTGTATAACGAACTCAGCAGCATTTGGTGGTGGAGAAGAGAAACGTTTTCCAATATGTACCAAAGTATCTTCAATAACACCAGTGGGAGCAACCTAAAACATTTAACAAGTTTTAACATATTTATTAATACTGAAAGTTTATCAAGCGGTAATAGCTAAAGTTATCAAACAGTTTCATTTGACTTAAGGAGGGAAGTCCATATAACATTTTCAAAAAATTGATTTTTTTTTTCTTCGATAATCTGCCAGTATAGTATGTTGGCATATATTGACGAGTCGACAAAAAAAAATCTCTTATATTAACAAAGTTATAGCTAACATAACGGGGCTAATGCCGGAGTGCGCATTGTCAAGCCATCAAGCGTATTGTTAAATTTCAAGTGAAAGGGTCTCTTCCATTATAATAACTAGAAATACTTCTTTTGTCCTACTACTATGTACCTTATCACATGTGTAATATTGGTATACGAACAAAAGTTAGTCGAGAAATATAGTTAGTTAGCTGGAAAATTCGTAGTGTTCAGTTTATTTTAATACGTAAAAATGCCGAATTATCTAAAAGGTAAGGTAATATTGCACAAAATAACACTAAAAAAGACGTTATCAGGGCAATCAGTTTACTGATAAAGCAGGTGAAAAAATTGACGCCAGTACAAGTCATAATGAAAATGCCAGTGGTCAAGATCCTCTAGACGTAGATTTAACTCCATTACTTGGTAAAGAAATGAAACAGCATCTTTCACCAATTTATGAAGACTTGTCCAAAGATGATTTACTTGAACGATGCCTTGGTGATAATACGCAAAACGCAAATGAAAATTTCAACGCGACAGTGTGGCGACTATCACCAAAACACCCACTTTGTGGACAAAGGGTAGTTGAAATTTCACCGTATATTGCAGCTAGGATATTTAATAAAGGTTTGAGTTCAATATTAAGAATAATGAACCTTCTGAATTTGACTGTTGGTACTTATGCTAAAGCATATGCTGATAATACTGATGAGGCGCGAATAACTTGACAGGATCGTAGGAGCCTTTCACAAATAAAAGATGCTCATACAGCTCGCAAACAACAACAACTTACAGAAAATCAGCTTTGTGAAGATATGAAAAGACTATTTAATGGACCTGGAAATGCAGATTAATCGGTAAGTAACTATAACTGGTCATTTTCCTTTACTAAATCTTTAAACGCGATTATCTCGAAACTGTGTTTTCAAAAACTGCTCGTGTTGTAGCTCAAAAAGTTATGTATCGATTTGTCTGAAATTTGGTGAGGCCTTTCTCTATATTACTATCGGAAGGATAAACCTAAGTCTTTAGATCTTTCGCGTTGATAAAGTATTTTCTGGGATCCAAAATGTCAAAAAAATAGCCCCGAAATCAGATTTTTTTTTTCAAAGGCTTGTTTTTCATTGAATTTTATACTTTTTTTAAATTTTATAGGCTTATCCTTTCCATTAATATGTTCTCAAAAGAAAACATTAAAAAAAAAAAATTTCAGATCGATGGTTGATGAGTGAGAAATGGAGCAGTTTTGGACCTCGCGCCGGAGGCAGTCCACAAAAATTATCCCGAGCCGCCATTTTGAAAAAAAAATTAAAAAAAAATATTTTTTTGTACTCTAAAAGGGTTAAATAAAGTTGTGTTAAAGTTTAAAAACAATAAAATATTTCCATCACGTTTAAAAATACGTTTAAATTATGACCTTTTTTTATGCGTCCCCCTTTAATACTTGCCTTAAGTGGATCTTTGCCTTCAAAGAAACCAGACCATGGAGAATCTAGCCAATCCTTATATTTTATATGGGTTTCTTTTTTAGCATTATTATATTCTTCCTCGCAAATGTTATCATATTTAGCGGCAACATCTTTTACTTCTTCTGCAGTAACTGTGCCTTCAGCTACTAGTTTTTCTGCATATTTATCCAAACCTAAATAATTTAAAAAAAAACGAATTCATTTGTTGGTATAAACATTCGTGAATGACAGTATAAAAAAGAACAACTGCTTTAAAGGCAAAACAATAAACTGCACTTTTCATTATTTACAGAAAAATCTTACATGGTTTAGTCTGTCGAATTTTCGTGTACATCAGGGGCTGGGTAAACATAGGTTCGTCAATTTCGTTGTGTCCATTCCTCCTGTAGCATACAATATCAATAACGACGTCCTTGTGGAAAGTGGCACGCCACTCAGCTGCAATATTGCATACATGCATTACACTCTCAGGGTCATCGCCATTCACATGGAAGATCGGTGCGTTTACAACCCGAGCCACGTCTAAAAAATAATAAAAATACAAGTTCAATTCACAAACCTCTACAAATCGAACTATATTCCGTTTATTAAAAATTGAAGTTTTGACATATTTAGATAAAAAAGTAAAAATCAATTAACACTTCACCTGTACAGTAAGGTGACGAACGCGAGTACCTCGGATCTGTTGTGAAACCAACTTGATTATTTGCTACAATGTGAATGGTTCCATGTGTAGTGTAAGCTGGTAGATCTGATAAGTGCATAGTTTCAAACACTACACCTTGACCACAGAAAGCAGCATCACCATGAAGCAAAATAGACATCACCTAATAAAGCAGCCATTTAAATTTAAGTTAGAGATAAGTAACACATGAAAATTATTTTAGCAAATCCCACCTTCTTTCCTTCACTGTCACCTCTATAGAATTGTTCGGCCCTGGTCTTTCCTTGGACAACTGGATCTACAGCCTCCAAGTGAGATGGGTTTGCTACTACAGCCAACCTAATATTTTTATTCGTTACACGATTCAAACGTTCGATGTATGTTCCCAAATGGTATTTGACATCACCAGAACCCTATAAAAATATTGAATTTAGTCACTTGTAAAATTAATAAGGTAGAATAAATTTAATTCATACATTGAAAAATAGATTTATTCGCCAATAATCTAACAAAAAATCTTACATCATCTTCAGCTTCCAATCCAGCAAATTGTGTGAAAATTTGGTGAAGAGGCTTGCGACAGACATTAGCTAGAACGTTTAAACGACCTCTGTGAGGCATACCCATAACAATAGACTCGACTCCCAATCTCGTAGACACATCAATCACTTGTTTCATGGCCGGTATCAAAATTTCGCAACCTTCAAGACCAAATCTCTTCTCTGATGACCATTTCTTGGCTAAGAAAGCTTCAAATCTGTAAATTTTTAAATGACAAACACACATCATTCAATAAAAAAAAAGCTCATTGCAATTTAATTTACCCGGTAGCTCTAGTCAAACGAGCCAATATTAGTCTCTTTTGTTCGGGTGTGAATTTCAACACGTCAGGTTGTTCCAATTTTTGTCTTATCCAATTACATTGTTCCAATGAATTGATAAACATGAACTCTGCCCCAATGTGTCTACAATATGCGTTCTCTAGACGATTTAAGATTTCCCTGAAAATTAGTTTGGAATATATTTAGACATATATTTACAATAAATGCTTGATATATTGAACTTCGGTAGCTTCTATGGAATAAATAAAAAAAAATTAAAGCAAGTATTTGATACATACCTAAGAGGGAGAGCCTTTTCTTTTTCTCTGCCAATAAAAGTGGTGGATGGTAATTTAAATACTCTATCCATATCAACGTCCTCTGTGAAATTAATTAGCATTAGCAAATGTGTAAATACAATATGGGTAAATAATTTATTGTATTGATTGAACATCTACAAATTGATCTGAAAAGGATTTTAAAATGAGCTAATGCAACATATCAAGGGTAAGTAAAAAAAATAAATCCAAAACCAAACTAAAATACTACGTGAAAAATCGTAACGAAAAAATCAAGCGCTTAGCGATTGTTTTTGCATGATTAATTAGACACAACGTAACATTAGGTAAAACATTTTCTTGTAAATTTTGATCGAACTGAAACCACAAATTTATTTATTTCTATATATATATATATATATATATATATATACATACATACATATTGCAATAAATCAATAAAACCAATAATTAAAACAAGACTATGAGTTTATTACCCAATGCCTTATCACATGTCCAAATCTCAATCCATATTATTTACTGACACCAAAATAAACTACTTACCACAATAGTACGGTAAAATTATTTGAGTAACAAAAAAACGTTAATTCAAGCAGTTTGGCACAAAATCAATGCATAATAAAAACAATTGTGTGAAAACTGGCAAATCCCAAACATAATTAAAGCAAAATAATACTTGCAGCATTTAATCTCCGAATATCGCCTACGACATAAATTCAAAATGAATTACGACAGTAAGATATTTAGATTCAGTCTCAAATTCCTCATAAATTGCTACATTTTAAATAATAAAATGTTACATGAAAACATTTTCCGAATACTTACCAAAATTGTAATGACTATATAACAATTCTTGAGGCGTTCTATCATCAAGATCTGCACTTGAAATCCCCAATGGATCCAATTTTGCGATATGATGTCCACGGATCTATGTTAAAATATCACCAAAGCACTCAAACTATTGTACATGTATACACATCAAAAAAACATGTTAATCGTAATGCATCAGAAAAGGTATTATGTACAAAAATTCATCTAACGAGTAAGAAAAACAAATCTACACTGCTTGCAATGTTAGCAAATTGTTGCACATTCAAGATTTAGAACTGAACATAAACGTTGCAATCAACATTACGCAGATTTTTGGCACAAAATTATTAGATTATCAACAAAATTATTAACTATATTGATTGTACTAGTTGCATAATTTTATTATAAGCATATTAATGCTATACTTTAATATTCATTTGTTTATATATAATAAAAAAAATATACTCATACACAATTTGACTTTGATTAACTATAAAATTATCAAATATCAGTAGCAAAAATCAACCTTCGTCCTGTTTAATTTAATTGAAACTCTCAGAAATTCTGCAAAAATCAGAAAGCGTAGACTTTTATATGTTCTATATAAAAGTGACGTTTGAATTATACCAAAAATTATTATGGTTGATTTTAATATTATAAACGTATACAGCAAAACATGCAAACAACCAAATCACTTTAACAAACAATTGAAATGAAGTGAGAAACCATATCTAATCCATATATATATATATATATATATATATATATATATATATATATATATATATAAATATATATATACTAAATGACAGCAGTATTAGAAATAGACAAAAGCTTTGAATGCAGCACGATATGCTTCCAAACTATCCAATTAACAAACATTCCACAACCTCATGCCATTCATAATAAATCAAATGTCAACGCCATTTAACCAATATTTACCGAAGAAGTTGAAGAATTATTTTGGTTAGTCAGGACAATGGACTGTTAAAAACACTCTTTTAAAATCCTTTTAGAATCGGTTGCAAGTAAATTGATCGATCTTCGATGATGTTAGGTAATAAATGGTTTGTATAAATTTCGGTGGTCTCTACTGAAAAAACAAGAACGCGAATGAAGCGAAGATAATTATTGCAAGAAATGCAAAAAAAATCAAAATTCTTTAAGTAAATAAAAAAAGACTCAATGCATTAACTATTAGGAAAAAAAGGTACAAGTTTCAGTCACTTTCAATATTTATTGTCTCAATATATTATTTACATTCCAAAACAATGATGTTTTGACCATCTGAAAGTCATAAATAATGAAGTCATTGATCAATTTAATAAAACAAAGATTCCAGAAAACGCGCCAGTAAATCAATCAGTAGCGAAAATCACCGCATCCTTATACCAAACCATAATATTATCGTCATCTTGAACGCCGGTGTGCGTCAAACTGATTCTTAGTAATGAATTATCCAAATTTACATCATCGAGTCGACGTTACTTTTGCAAATCAGTCTGTAATAGTAATACTTAACGCGTACCAAGCAGATATTGCCTAACGACGTTTTCCGATTGCGAAGCTTTGGTTCCGGTGTATTTTCCGTGAAGATCGGCATACATGATGCCCAGTGGATCGAGTTCAGCTACTAAATGTCCTCTGACCTGAATTTATTTTGTTATTTTTGTGTTGTTTAGTAGGATTTAAATATATATCGTAGAAATATCATATTAGTCGCTTACAAAACAGAAAGTTTTAAAATAACGATGAGATAGATAATTAAGTTAATATAAAGGTAGAGTACGTTAGTAAATATATACCACCACGCAAATCATTAATATATATATATATATATATATATATATATATATACATATATACGTTAAGTGATATAAATGTAATGAGTTCACATTCAAAACAAGTAAAAACATTAAATACACGTTTTTGAATAAATAGTGTATAGGGATATTAAGATTAAGTAAATTATTCATTAATTAATAATCAAAAAGCAATTCATATTTTGCGTTCTGACTTTATACAATACAATCATACGAAAAACGTGCACAAACAATCAATCGTTTTAGTAAGTTACAAATATTGAAAAGTACATGCATTTTGCACAAATATTCGAAATTTTGGAGGAGGTGAGTCCAACTGCACTTTGGCGGATTAAAAATTAAAAAAAACAGTGTAATAAAATTCATTCTGTGTTTTAATCTACATATATGCTGTAAGTTTCGAAGCTTCCGCAAGAGTGTAACCGCAGTCACCAATCCGTAACTTTAACTTTTGGTCTCAAATTATATATATATATATATATATATATATATATATATATATATATATATAATAACCGCATTTATGAAAATAAAAATGACGAAACAACATTAAATTCAATAGGCCGACTAAGGAAGCACATAGCGTGAAATATATACGATAATATTATTCTATATACATGTAAAGTTCAAATTTAATACATTCAAATAAAAATGAAAGGGGCCTTGTTCTAGAGGTAGTTCACGTAAAAGCCTTGTTCTAAAGGGTCTTTCTGTTGCAAAAAGTGTACTACTCTCAAATCTCATTCAACGAACAGTTATAAGCAGATAAAATTTAGATAATTTGAATTTTAATACATGCTAAGGTTCAAGCGCTGAGATTCATGCAACGCAACAATCTCAAACAAAAAATCATATTTAAAACACAGCTTGAATTCTGATAAAAATGTAATCTCGTTATATATATATATATATATATATATATATATATATATATATATATGTGTGTGTGTGTGTGTGTATATATAGTTTTAATTAAAATAATAATTTAAACTATCGGTAATAAACACCATGCTAAATTTGCCAAAACGCATTCTAAACAAAAACAGTAGAAATGACATTACAAAAAATACAAAATAAGATTAAAATATTAATAGAAAAATTAATATCATTTTTTATTATTCTCGATCCGCGCAAACCATATGTCAAATAAATATTTGATGTTAAATAAAGCATATACAACAAATAAATTCTTGTGATTATTGTATCATTAATAAATAAATTAAGTTACCCAAATAACAATAATCATTATACAAATTTCGCATAAGATTTAGGTTTTTATAAATAAAATTTAAAAAATCATTTAGAATCGTTAATTTAAGATCATACCTGATAGCTTCTAATAATAGCTTGAACAGCAAGATGATCGTCGATCAGTTTTTCGTCGACAATGCCTCCTAGAGAATGTCCAGCACCAGCTAGGGCGGGCACCATGCTGGACGCAGGATAATGATTCTTCGGCAAAGGGGCTAAAGATGGAGGAGCCACGTAACCACTTCCACCAGAGGCTGAAGAGTTGCGGAAGTAGGAGTCCCATGACTGAAAATGCACAGTATACATAATAAATAAATTTGTATATATATACCATGGATCTGACTTCTATTACTATTTATTACATTATATATACAAATAAACTAGATTTTCTACAAATTATGTTTTCTGTATTCAGATGAGTAATAAATAATCTAAAATTGAATAAAAAGCAACTTGAAATGAAAATATCGAGCTAAAACCAAGATCTGTAATTTTCTATAATAAAAATATACTGCGCAAAATGTTGTATAATAACATCACTCTTAATCCGCAGTCCATAAGTCGCGCTTCTTATCAGAACACACCTCAATTTAATTAAAATAAGTATTGCGGCTATCATTGTACATCTCAGGATTATTTAAAAAGTAACAAAACGCATTTAATAATTAACATAACAACTATACATATTTACATTATTGTGATTATTTGCTTATCTATATCATAGATAAGAAACTTTATAAAAGCATATAAATTTCAAGTATTGTCTCATTACATTATTGGTATGAGTAAATTCGATCTTTCAAAACCACAAAAAAGATGTAATAATAATTATTGCTAAGTTTATACGCCTGCAGAAATCTTTGTCGTCAATTTAACATTCTTGTTAAATTGCAAATTACACAATGTCCCCGTCAAATTTTGAATAATTTAGTTTCTATAATACTTCTGTACATGCTGATTTTGATACTGTATAATATTTAGCTAGCTAACTGTCCACAACTATAATTAGTCGGTTTCTAACCCTTTCGCTACGGTAGTGCTATCTGCGGCGTGACGCTGCTGTACGGAACAGAAACTATTGAACGGACAAGTACAACGATATATTTTAAAATATTTTAAAACTATCATTATAAATAAAAATGTGTTAAAACTTAGATAATTACGCTTCTAATGAACTAGAAATTATAATAATAAAGACTAGAATTCCCAACTGTTTAACTCATAGGGATAAATCATGAAGCAAAGGCAGAAATAACATGACGTCCAGAGACGACACCCCGTACACACAGCACATCATGTGGATGTCGTCTAGGGACGACACCCGTACACACAGCACTTATATAATTTACATTATATAATATAATACAAAGTTTCTATTTATTTTCTAATTGCTCTTAATTGAGTCTCTGTATCTGTATCTAATAACATTTAAAAAAACTAATTAAATAATAAAATCTTTATATGTGAAAATAAGCATAAAAAACGAATAATTATTTTCAAAGTTATGTAATCCTGGCCAACTATTATTTCTTTGTTCTACATCTGCTAAATTGCATAAAAAAATCAGTCAAAAACTGCCTTTAATCACTTTCAATTTTCTGTTAAATATATTGTTCGAACGTTTATAGATTCCATTTGGGCAGTTACCAAATACTTTATTTCACTGGTAAACTAACCACATGAACACTTTTGGGATCTTGTAACCAGGCGTTGTACATATCCTCAACATAACTTCCGCTCGTTCCACTCAAAAAACTCTCCTGGGAAGCTGGTACATTGTATTTCCGAGCTGGTGCTCCAACGCTGGCCACCATTCCTGAGCACTGAAAAATTAATTAAAAAGATAATTATTTACAACAAACGGTAAATTTTTTTTTCCGTTTTATTTATAAATTCAATTAAATCAAACTTTTATGCTTTAATTTTTATTTTATTTAGACATTATACTTTAAATTTTAAATATTTAAAAAAACAATTTTTAATAATTATTATGATGAAATAATTTGCATACAATGCGGATATTTTTAAATTAATATAAAGTGATATATATATATATATATATATATATATATATAAAATGAAACCTATCCTTGAAAACGCAAAAAGAATTAAATTAACAAAAATATCACTATTAATTTTCTGCAACATTTGAAAGTTTAAAGCAATTTCCAAAAGACATAGCGCGTAGATTCCAGTGTCGTTAAAATTACATGACATATTTTTTTCATTCCATAGTCAATTTTTTTTATTACAAAGTTATTTTATATACCTCTTTCTTTTTTGAAAAATTTGCGAATTTCTCGGTAGTTTTGCCGTTTAAAGTAAAGATTATATATAAAATAGTAAACAATACTTGTAGTAAATAACTAGTAGTACATTTCGCTGCTTAATTATTTGTTCCCTCAGGGAAAGGGTTAATAAGAGATGCTTAAAGCAAATGTATGGCGTGGGGGTTTAAAAAGTTATAATAATAATCCAGTAAGTTTGTGAAACAATTAAGTAATAGTTAAATACTATTTATTTAAAATTCGGCGCATTCGGCTGAAATATTATTATTCAATAATTCCCTTCTATTGACTATTATTCATTAATTCATTTCTAATAGTTCACATATTCTTTATTTATAACTCTTGATTTTCAAATTTTATGAAAACATCAAAAGCACCTACCCTTGAAAGCGTTTTTCACATTTATCATTATTTTTGACATAATACGCCTGAAATAAAATTAAAACCGCCTCAAAAATGCGAGAATCAAAACACATAAACAAATTTCGTAAATATATAGAAAAGACAATTCGTAAATAGTTAATTGAATCATTATGGCTTTTTATTTTTTTAGTTTTTTATTTTTTTTTATTTAGAGTTATGAATATAATTTTCAATTGTTTTAAATTCGCGATTAAACATAAAATAGTTAATTTGATTGTACATAAATAATTTTTTTAATTGAATTGCAGTCAAAATGTATTCTAACTCTATATCTATTTATCATTTGAATATGTCGTATTAAATAAAGCAAAATTAAAATGTTTATTTAAAAATACTTACAGTTGGTTTTGCTGGATGTAGTAGCCATGAAGCAAATCTTTGGGGTCCGGCTTGAGAGTAATAGGGGCCTAAACATGTCACTATGTTGCGCGCTCGATGCATTTTTAACTGAAAATAATATATGTAAATATAAATATACGTGGTTAATAAATATGATGTTTGTTGAAAACAAACAAAGACTTAATAAATATTAATTCTTATTCACCATGGTAAATCGAAATGGTCTTGAGAATCAAAACAAAATAATAATGAACAGAAGCGCGAGTTTTTTTAAATATATACTTCGCGTTAGTAGCGCATTAACTGCAAATAATAGTTAATCAAAACTGAGGTGTATCGCCATTTTAAAAATGTTTTATTTAACCATGTTCGAATGCAAAACATAAAAAAATTAGCAATATAAGTTTACGAGAAAAACGCGTGGTATTCGGATGAAATAATAATTAACTTATTAGAAAAATAGCTTTTCATTTTACAAAGAAGCATACGAAAACAGAATGACAACAACAAAGCTGTGGATGATCCTTTGAAACACAATCCCTAAAGAGACAAACAAATATAGGATGGCCCATTTAAAAATTGGAATTTATCGATAGCAACAACTTGCCTGTTGGCCACACCGTGCGGAATTCGAAGTTGCGAAATACGGAAAAAACTAAGAATTTTGAGACCTTTCTAACGATGTATAATACTTTATATGTTTTCTTTACAAAAATATCTAAACCGTAAGATCACTAGATCACTAGATCACTAGGACCACTAGATGGACCACCCGTTATATATGCAGCAGACATTCGCGAATTATTTACGCGTTCACGGTTCGATAAATATTTCAAAAGCAAAAAATACGATGAATCAATCTATCTTTGTTGATGCCGTTACCTAATAATAAGAGCGAACGAAGTTGGCCGTCGGCCAAACGACGCCGAGGATTACTATCGGACGTCATGTTTTGGAGCGATCGTTTAGGATTCGAACTTACGACCTTGTCCGTTGGTTTGCAATTCTAAATGACGTTCAAATGAAACACATTCTATTATTGTGATAATTATTGCAAAGTATGGTATAATACCACGGCGCTGCGGCAACAATAAGAGGAAAAGTATTTTTTTATGAAGAATAAAGTCTAGGTCAAATGAACAGCGAATATGTTTGGCAGCGTGCTAAAAATACTAATTTACAGATTAATTTTAACCCGTATTGATCCAATATGATAACAATTTGATAAAAAAAAGTGAAAACCGATATCGCTACTGCTTGATATCAGGCTGCTCGAGGCGTATCTGGGACCTCTAATTCAAATCCCATAGTTCTAACCACTTAACCACGGAGAAACCCACTTAAGCCACATAAATCACATATTTTGAGTAAATTGTATTTTTACATTATTTTTTTTTGAAGAGCAATCAAAACCTAATTGTCCTCTAAGCTGTTGTGCTGATTTTGACCTAATACTAGTCTGTTTGACAGATGGCAACCCAATCAGTTATCACATCTCTGTATGATATATATTATTACAATTTCTGTAATAGGGCGAGTATTTTTAATAGTGCAGCAATGCCGGGTGAGGGCTATTTTCTTGAAAACACATTGCTATCTATATTTCCAAGTGAAAATCGTTGTCACTGCTGCCTGACAACAAGCTGCTCGAAGTGGGTATCGAACCGGGACCTCTGAAACAAGTCCGGTCGCTCTTAATCGCTTACCTACGGGCGAACCCGTGTTTTTACATAATTTGAAAAACTTTAAATGTGGATAGTAATAAGCAATATTTTCATTTACTTACAACAAAAAAAAGAGAACAAAGTAACCGATGTGTTTAGAAAAGATTGCAGACTGATAATTTTGCCAGAGCGTTTTCGATGTAAATGTTGGCCCCGGGCACTGTTGATTAAATCAACGCATAAAAACATGTGAGTTCAGTGCATTTACGGTTTCAACTGCACTACAATTATGATGTATTGCAGAAAATATTTAGGACTTTTTATTTCGACTTATTTTTAAAAAATGATTTTGTTAATTTTTAACTTCCCGTAGGGCAAGTTATAGTAATCGCAAAAAAATCGAAAATGAAAATTTTTATATATCTTTACGTTTCAAAGGTTTCTGAACATTTTGGCATACCTTAGAAAAAATGGATGTATGTGTGTGTATGTGTGTGTGTGTATGTATGTATGTATGTATGTATGTATGTATGTATGTATGTATGTAAGTGTGTGTATGTATGTGCGGATACAAATTTTCGTCGACGATTTCGGGAACACGAATCAACCGATTTGTATAATTCAAAAAACATTCGATTTGTATTGATAAGGAGACGTGCTGATTAGTTTTTGGCGCAGGGAGGTCTAGCCGTTCCGAAGATACGGGGCAAAAAGTGCCGAAAACGGTAACTCAGTTTTTAAGAGAACGGAGCGTCCGATTTTAATAATTCAAAAAACATTTTACTTGTATTGAGAAGGTGAAGAACCGATCAATTTTCATAAAGGCAGGTCTAGCGGTTTCGGAGATCTAATGAAAAAAGTGAAAAAAATGCCATTTGGCGGTCAAAAATGATCATTAGACTTATGTACATCAAATTATCAGATATTTTATAGATATTTTAACAATAAGTATGAATTTGGTTTACAGTCCTATGGGTTCCGTACCAATGTTTACGCGTTAGACGGCGACGCGGCGCTTACGAGCTTTGATATTTCGTCTTTATGCAGTTAAAGCAGTACGATTGCTTTGAAAAAAAGTTTAGATCTTTCAGAATATGTCAAAATATAGAAAACATTTTTTTTTCAAAAAAAAAAAATTTTTTTTTTTTTTTTTTTAAAAAATTTTTTCAAAAAAAAAGTAATTTTTGGTCCAATTTATAGTTTCTCAAAAATCTTATTTTTTCGAAGTAAATTTTTTTCAAAAATGTTAATCGTTTTTTAAAAAAAAAAATGGTACGGAAAGTTCCAGCAATTTGCCTTAAGGCACGATGCCTTAATTGCCTTAAGAGAGAATTCCACTTACAGCTAGTTTATCAATGAACAGAGCATTAAGATAAAATAGAACAGAAGAGCATTATCTAAAGACGAAATTCTTGTTTACATCTCATATAAAATGTATCTTTTATCTTTCTTTAACTACTTATTTTATATTCAAAAATTGTTTTACACATTATACATTTTTCATTATAGTGGTATAAAAAACTGTCAACATGAAAAGAAAAAAAAAGCAGTTCAATAAAAATTATTAATTACACCTAATAGCAGCAGCTGATGTACTTGAAAAAACTTATATCAATTTATTTATAAAATAAATATTGAATCGAAACCCTTAGGGCGTGCAACGTACTGTAGTAATATATTACCGGATTCTTTCAGTTTTTCAATGTAACCATATCACATATGCATCCATGAATAAAATGTGAACCATTTATTATATGCAAATTAATCGAGTGACGCCAAAGGTTATCATGTTACGAAATATTTTAAGACTTTGTCTTGGACAACGACCTTATGTTACAGTGGGTGTGTCATTAGATAACTCCGGAAACCTCAACTTATAAAATGTAGAGCAGTTTCAAAGATTTTTAGGTCAACACGTACATTATAAGAAGTGTAAAAATAAAATAAAATAATTATAGTTGGAAATACATACAATTACTTTACAATGCAATATTGCTTGTACATATATTTACGGTTATTAAGTATATTAAACATGAAATAGGGTACATTTTTATATTACAATGAGGAACATAATGAAAAACATGGACTGCAGCGAAGCAACCCCCATGAATCTAATTCCAATATACATAACTTTATAGATATGTACGAGTTTAATTCAAAACTGTTATATATCAAATCCATAAATCAATATCTATAATAATTAAATAAAAAGTTAAGTATGATTAACTAGCAAAGGTAAATATTTTATATTTATTATTTAATTTTTTAAGTGCAATACGAAATTTATGAATAATATTAAAACGATTTTACGTTCTATGTAAGATTTATAATAGTTTATCGTAAAACAATTTATAAATGTTTTCTAAATATTGTAACAATCTACAATAATTACACTCAAATTTACGACTAGTAAAGTAGAATGTATCAAAACATGCCGATACAAGTAACAGTTCTTTCTAACGGGTTTCCATCAAAAGAATCTATTTATAAAAACAGATTGGATTACTGCTGTAGTAAAAATGCATTTTACTAACATCGATAATTATATATATATATATATATATATATATATATATATATATATATATATATGTATATATCATATATATTCGAATTTCCTTGCTCCTAAGGGCTCGAATGGTTCCAAATAGATAAAAAACAATTCTCTGAAAGTTTTAGCTCTTAATATTGTATTTTAGATAGAGCGCAATTCAATCAATAGCATGGAAATAGCATGAAAAAATTGTCAAACATTTTCAAAAATTTTGCAGAGCATCGAATTTTCAATAAAAACTGACACGAATTTTCACTTTTAATTCATTTGTCGCTAAGTTAAACCTAAAAAAAAATTTTTTTTAATTTTCAAATTTTTTTCGTTGCTATTTCCATACAAAGTTTGATTGAATTGCACACTATTTAAAAGTTAATATTAGGAGCTAAAACTTTCAGAGAGTTGTTTTTTATCAATTTGGAACCATTTGAGCCCTTAGGAGCAAGGAAATTCGAAAATGTCCATATTAAGGACCATCCTAATATATATATATATATATATATGTATATACAGAAAACATTGAGTATAAAAAATAATTAACTGATTGTATGTGTGTGGTATATATAAGTAAAAGAGGCAGCTAACACAAATTAAATGAATGGTTTACCTACTGCAACGCAAATCTCATTAATTTTACTGGTACATATTAATAGATACTCATTGCAAGTGCCAGCCTAATCTGAAACCGATTTCATGTAAATTGAATTGGCACCTTTGGATATTCCCTCTCAAAACCTATATTTCAATCCTTACGACTTAGGGGTATAACGTATAAAACATATATTTATACGATTCTTATTCATACTGAACGTGAATATGAAATTTCATAAAAATCGGTAAAATGTTTATATATATATATATATATATATATATATATATATATATATATATCA